ACTCACTCTGTAGACCAGGCTGGCCTCGAACTCAGAAATCCGCCTGCCTCTGCCTCCCAAGTGCTGGGATTAAAGGCGTGCGCCACCACTGCCCGGCCTTGATGCATATTTTTAATTTTATCATTAATGTTCAAATAATATGTCTCTGAAGCAGGGTATGGTGCCTTCATGCCTATAATCCCAGCACTTGGGAGACTGAGGCAGGAAGATTACAAGGTTGAGGACAGCCTGAGCTATATAGTAAGTTCCAGGCTAGCCTGAGCAGCAAGTGTGAGACCATTTCAGAAAACTCACCAAACAAAGCCAGGTATGGGTACAGGCCTATAGTCCACCCTTGGGAGGTAAAGCAGGGAAGATCAGAAGGGCCAGCTTCAGCTACATAGTGAATTTTAGGTCAGCCAGAGCTACCAGAGACCCTATCTCAAATATACACAAAGCAAGAGTTAGGGTGTGGGTGCAGGGGGAGGGCATAGAGCACAGAGAAGGCTCAGCAGGAAGTTCAGTTCCTAATACCCGTTCAATGGCTCACAACTACCTAAATTCCAGCTTAGGGCATCCAATGCCTCTAGCCTATTTATGTACTTGTGCGTGTGCGTGCACACAAACACAGAAACGCAAAATTTAAAATAAGTTTTAAAAGATGGAATATTTATGAGATGGAATAATCTGAAATATAATTTTTTAAAACACAACCTTTTCCTCATTCAAAAGCCTATAAATACACAAAGTGTCTTTGGTATCAATTTTTTTTTTTTTTCGGTTTTTTGAGACAGGGTTTCTCTGTGTAGCCCTGGCTGTCCTGGAACTCACTCTGTAGACCAGGCTGGCCTCGAACTCAGAAATCTGCCTGCCTCTGCCTCCCAAATGCTGGGATTAAAGGCGTGCAACACCACTGCCCGGCATAGTGTCCATGTTTCTTGGCCTCACCAGCCAAGGCTTCCCTAGGAAGCAACACTGCTTGCTATCTGTGCCAGGCTAATTTCTACCTTGCCGGGCAGTGGAGTGAGGAACGTAAACTAAAGTCCTCAGACTTGATGGCAAGTGCCTTTGCCCACTGAACCATCTTACAAGCCTGATTTGCATGTGTTTAAAATAGCTTTTCTAACCTATTTTCAAATGTATCTTGGGGCTGGAGAGACGGCTGTCAATAAAGTGTCCACTATACAATTGTGAGAGCCTGAGTTTAGATCCCCAGCATCCCCCTAGAAGCCAGGCAGTGTAACATACTTCCATTTCATTGCTGGGCGAGTAAGGCAGAGGCAGGAGGATCCCTGAGGCACACTGGCTAGCCATTCTTGCTAGATTGGTGAGCACCTGGTTCAATTAGAGACTACCTTCACAAGAAATAAGATGGGAAGCAATCAAGGAGGAAACCCAAAGTTTACTTCTGACTTCTCCTCACATGCACACACACCTATACATACATCTACATGTGAACAAGAATATACCATGCACACAAAACACGTGACATAAAACAAGTGACCCTTCAATGTTTGAGCAATACTCAGTTTATTACAAAAAAAGACTAAGATATGGGGAAGATCCCCAACTAGCTACTCTGTTACCATAAACTTTTTTTGTTTGTTTGTTTTTTGTTTTTTTTGTTTTTGTTTTTGTTTTCTTTTGTTTTTCCAGACAGGGTTTCTCTGTGTAGCCCTGGCTGTCCTGGAACTCACTCTGTAGACCAGGCTAGCCTCGAACTCTTGAACTCAGAAATCTGCCTGCCTCTGCCTCCAAAGTGCTAGGATTAAAGGCGTGTGCCACCGGCTACTCTAAACTTCTTTACAATTCCAGACTCCCAATTCCTACTCCAATACTTCCTTCAGGGGTCGTTTGTCATTTTAGCCTTCTTTCCATTAAACCAAGACCAAGCTAGCATGTCTAATTCATGGTCTCAAATAAATGATTCTATTATTTTTGTGGCTAATTATAAACTTTATGTAGAAATTAAGGCAAATTCATACTAAATTGTATTAGGATGCATGTAATGTATTAATTGCATTGATGCCATGTATGTCTTAAGTGGCCTTTGTGTATGTGATGAGGGTGGATCCCAGGGCGTGTGCAGGCGTGTGCAGGCGTGTGCAGGCTAGACACACATCCACCACTCAGCTACATCCTCAGCCTTTGTCTCAGTACTTGGTTTGTGTTTGCGCGCATATCCACATGTATGTGTGCAAGTATGTTCAATGTGTTCCTAATTCCTCTGCATCTTATTTTTTTATTGATATAATTAATTTTAGTCATCGTCATACACCCTCATTTCCCCCTCTTCCTCATCACTCTCTGTGGGACCTTTTGCAGTAAGTCTCCTCCTGCTCCTCGTCATCTTTCTCTGCGTGGCCACTGAGTTTAACTAGGGTTTCTGAATGGGTGGGAAATAATTTACTGGCTTAAGGGTAACTTAACAGTTTTGAGACAAGGTCTTTATGTGAGCCTGGATCTCACTAATCAGTCAGAGGGCCTAGAAAGCAAGCTTCAGGATCCACCCGTCTCCACCTTCCCATCTCCACCTTCCCGGAACTGGGGTTCCAGGTGTGCGTCACCCTGGACTTTCTGAGGATTGAACGAAGTGCTTTGTTTGCAAGCACTTGACTGAGCTCAGGTGTTTCTCATATAGTTCTCTGTTGCCTACTTCGCCTGAAAACATGCTGATTTCTTCTGTGAGATAAAGCTAAGCATTTTAAATAAATAG